GCCTCCATAATAAAGAGACCCCCATATCTGACTTTGTATAGATGATTGGACTGGGTTACATTTGTAATTGTTCCCAATCTGCCATTGGGAAAAAAAATATTTTGAGTTTTTATGTATTTTTGCCTTGTCGCGAAGTGAGAACCGAATTAATTGAATGAGAAATACTGAATAGTCTGTGTAAAACAGTTTCTTTTCTTTCTTTCTTCTTTTTTTTTGTTTGTTTGTTTTCTTTGCTTAATTTCTTTTATAGGTCATTTTAGATTTATTATAGTATTTGAATAGAACATGTGGCAACGATTAGATAATTCTTAAGAAGATATAAATTTTGTGTATTCTGAGTTTAAAAATGAACGAAATGTAACGCTGTTAAGTGAAACTAGCGCCAGAGTGTTGCTATGGTAAACAAATATAGTGAATTTTAAAGAGTGCATTTATTCTATTGTGGTTTATGCGCTATCGACGAAGTAGATTTAATTCAATCCAATAAATTTAATCGAAATGCAAGAAAAATGCGTATAATCCAAGGAAGTCATGTAGTGTACACATCAGATTTTTTTCCTTTTTAAATCGAAAAACACGCTAACGTAACTCCTTTGTGAAAAGGCAAAAAAAGGGATACGCCTATATTTGCAATTATTTAATATTTACTGTTGTATTTAATATTCTTTAAAGTGTCAGTTTAATAATTTAAATAATTATTATAATAATTTTCCTTTGCAAGCAGCCTTGGAATAAATGCCAAAGCAATTTCAAATTAGCATTTACATCCCGAGGCACTACTTGCTTGGCATGTCTACGTTGATGTTAACCAACGGATATGCAAAAATGTGTTGTTTACGAACTCATAACCGTCACCATTATGCATAATTAATTATTTTACATTTTCCACTAGCAGACTGTGAAATGAAAGCAATGCGAAACAGTCACTAAATTTGTCATTTTGTTAGTAATTAATAAAACTATTCTTTTCTTTTGCGCTGATGTCATAGAAACGGCACCGAAAATTTCATTTTATTCTTTTTCCTTGCTTTGATAAATTATCTCTAGATATGATAAATGACTGATAAGAACATGTAAAAGGTAATTAAGTTTTGTAAATATCTAAAACCTTCATGAGATAATGTTGAAATTATCATGTTGAAGGTAACGTATTAAAAATTTAACAAAATTCCTTTTTTTAAATCCTTTATCTCATAGGGATCAATTAAAAACACAATTACTTCTGAATGTGACGAAAATATTTCATCTAGAATGACACTTATATATTATTATTAAAGTTTATAACTCAGAATCTGATGAAACTAAGGTGTGTGGATATTGAAATTAAAATATGTTTTCTAAAGTAAAACCGGTTTTTTTTTTGTTGTTGTTTTTTTGTTTCTGTCTTCCCTTTCTCAAATCTGTAACAAATGTTTCTGTACGTTTGGAATAATAAACAGGACATGTATCTTAAGAGAAAATCAGAACAAATGTTCGCGTCTTGGTAATATATTTTCTTGTGTTTCTAGCAGTATCTTTTTGTTTTTCACAAACACCGCATTACTTTAGATTCATTAATTTTAATTATTCTTCATTAACAACCTACACATCAACTACTTTCAAAGAAAAGTTTCTCGCAGCAAGTTTATGACAAGTCTTATAAACATACATTTAACTTCTGTCTCAGGCGGTATGTTAAAGAAGATTGAATCAAAATTACCAACAAAACGGATGAAAAGTCTGTTAGCTCAGAAATACTGAATCTTAGTGTTTCCAGTTAATTTAGAGTTTTAAAAATAAATCTATTTCTTGAAATAGGACTTGTCAGGAATTGACTAAAGCGTCCTCTCGTGGTAGCTAGCCAGAAAAAGTCCATAGTTCGAATCTCGATGAGAATAAAATTTATTTTTATATTTTTCGCTTCCAAAGCCGGAATAATTTTTACAGTGGCTCCCAAACTAAAACCATGATGCATGCTAAATCGTCATCGCCTGGATTTGCTCGACCGGGTCTTGTGCTTCGCCCCAGTTGCCCTTTAAGTGGAAAGATAATGTAAGGAAATTGTCCAACCTCATGTGCATAATCTCGAGTTATAAATGATTATTCCTCAACTACTATGGAAGATTTGTGGTTCAAAATACGAACCGGGCAAAGATGACATTTTCGATTTTGCTAATTTTTGTTTCTTATTTAAACTCGATAGTCTTTACTGAGACACTTTATATCAGCTGGATGATAATTCATCGGCATTTTAACTTAGCTCTTGGATTTTGTGACTCCTCCTAGTCATTCTTTAAGTGCGAGAGAATGTGAAGAATTAGCTCAGTTCCCCATGCGTGTTCTCGGGTGTAAATGATTATCGCTTCCTGTTAAGAAGTGCAAAGTTTGTGGATCGAATCTCGGAGAGGATATATTGGTTTATTACGCTTATCGCTTCAAAAGTCGAAACAATCTCTGAAAATTTAAAGTTCTTGAATTTTTCGGTTCCAGTTTTCTCAGGTAAAGCTAAATTTACCTTGCATACACCGATAATCCTGTCCAAAATGTACTACTGGGTAGCTCAGGGGTTTCAGAGGTTCTCAACGAGGATTCTCCCTAGGGGAGAATTTTGCAATTTGTCAGTCTTTTATTTAGCTTTCAAGTATTTAGTTTTAGCTTATGGTTATAAGAAACTAATTTTACACAGGTTTTGATATTTATCAAAATTTTCTATACATTTTCTTGTTTAATTTTTAAAACACATTAAAAATAATTTAAATCTAAATAAATGTTTACATGAATTTTTTTGAGTTTTTGGAAAGGAGGGGTGTTCTTCTAGCAATGGTGAAATGTGCGCGTGGGACAAAATAGGTTGAGAACCAACCACTCGGGGTACTGAATCCTGGACAGAGCCATGGAAGTAATCCCGAGGAGAGAGGAAAGGACACACGTATACAGCCGACTTGAACCTTCGAAGCCTTACCCTGGCGTTTTGATTACACTCAGCCTCCGCTAACCACTAGACAAGTTAGCGCTAACCAGTAGACAAATATTAAATACATTGTTTTATTTTTCATTAAATACTGGCAGTAGTGATTCTGTTTTTTTTAAAGACATTTTTTTAATATTAGAAACATATTTTTTCTTCTTTTCATTAAAAATTCGAGGACTGTTGACACATTAATTCATAAATGATCACATGCATATTATTTCTGTAGTAAGAATATCTTTTTCTCTTACCTGTGAAAAGAAATACGATTTTTATTTGTTTTTCATGGTTTTGATTTATTATGCATAAGACCCAAGACTGCATTTCAAATAAGAATCTTCTTTTTGTCCGAAAAAAAAGGAAAACGAAAGAATTTTTACTATTTTATTCCAAACTTTAATTTATTAAAATACAGGTATATAACCAAAAACTATAATGACATTGTTTACCAGTTTAATAATCAAGTGAATGACTACGCCTTTACGTTATCAAGAGATTTGTATTCACCTGATATTATGAGTTTCAAATGCACACAATAACAGAGAGTGACTCTATTTTTTGTGTAATTAAGAAATATTACACTAATTTAAAAGATCGAAATTGCGCTAAACGATATCAGTCGACAATGAAAATGCATGTCAATGATCCAGTGTTCTATTTTTGAAGAAATTCATAGAAGAGCTAAACTACGTTAATTGTCTTCCTGTTTCGAATTTTATATTTTTAATATTTGCTGTTAAAATATTTAAAACTTCACTATTTTAAATATTGCAGAAGGATTTATCCCTCCCTGCAAATGGAGATCCGGAGCACATGCTCCTTTTGCTCTGACGTAAATCGAGCTTTCCTAGCTATTCAATATTTATTCTGAAATATTAAAGTTGGGATTTTTAAAAGAACAAATCTTTATTACTGGAGATGTTACTAGATGTCGCTCTTTCGCTGACTGCGTTGTAGGCGGAGCAGAGTCAGAGCTTCTCTCGCGCCGTTTCAAACGTGGTCACAATCATCTATCTGTTCTATGCAAGTGTATACGATAGCATAACAGTAATGCATACTGTGTAGCTAAGATTTTATGAAAAATACGCAATATATTTATTGGAAATTTATTCACATTCTTTTACTTAAAAGCTTATGGTGGTAAAAAAAATTTTTTTTAATAATTTAAAAATTCTGATTCATCGAATTAGGAGAAATTAAACAACATAAAAATTCTGACTCATCGAATTACGGGAAATTAAACAACAGAATTCCAAGGTATATCAGAATTAAGTTGCTTCGGTAAGTTTTGAATTAATTAAGCTAAATTTTAAACGAAAGAACTGTATAAAAGAATTGACTAATATTTTTAAAGACTGTTGATAGAATATTTAATTAAATTAATTATTGATTTCTATTGATCTTATATCAGCTCGAACGCATATAAACACAAAAATTGTAATTATCTGAACATTCTAATGCATTGAATATTTGAAGAAATTGATTTCAAACAGAACATGTTAATTATTTGGATCCAAAAATAAGAATTTGCTATTCGAAATCGTAGTTATTCAATGCCCGTGAAGTCGAATCCTGCTCTTTCATTAGAGAAGTTTTTCATAATAGTTTGGTATTGTGTTGCAATTATATTCTTTTTTTTCCTGCATTACATTTCGATGGCATTTTAAACAGCGTACGCTCAACAGAATGTTGCTAAATATTTTTAAATGTTTGCGACACTTTCGTATCGATTATTAACATATTTCAAAATAGAGTTTTAGAGATTTCAGCCCTGAACTCACAAAGACATCGTGTTTAAGATTCTTTATTTTGAATATAAAATGCGTATAATTGGAAATTTTTTCATATTGGTAAATAAAATAATTTCCATGGAATTATGACTTGTAAATGATTAAAACGTGAAACTGAAAAGAATGAAGCAGTGAAATATGTACGTTTCTGAGTTATCGAAAACATTTTGTAAGGTAAGAATGATCGGTATCTTAATAGAAACCGCAGCTTTAATATACTTTGCATATGGAACTCAAGATAGTTCAGAACATTACTTATTTCCTCAAAAAAGTGTCCAGAATTTTTACCGAAATCAAATGCAGTTTTTGCCTGCAGACACGAGAAAGGAAAATGAGATACATCACCAACCTACTGCAACAACAATGGTTTCAACAAAATTGGAATTTACTGGGTACCAGAGTAGCACAAATGATATAGAAAAATCAAGAAGTATTTCAAAGAATTTAGAGGAATTTTTTGATCCTCAGATACCTCTTCCTGGAGAAGAGTATTTTGATGCTGTGGAGTTGGTGAATAATTCTTTGAGATTTTCAAACTGTTCTCAGTTAAATCGAACTACTTGTGAAGAACCATTTCATGCACCAGTGTTGGACCAAACGGCAGTGACGAAGGCTGTCATTTTATGTGCCATCGCATTCTTCTCTTTCTTCGGCAATATTGCAACGTTGACATCAATTCTAAGAACAAGACGACAAAGTACTTCTACGGTGTATATGCTTCTCGTGCAATTAGCCATTGCAGATCTCCTTGTCACTCTTTTCTGCATATTAACGGATGCTTTGTGGATGCTAACTGTTCAATGGTATGGAGGAAATCTTCTATGCAAAGTAGTCAAGTTCATGCAAATGTTCTCTTTGTATCTTTCTACCTTCGTATTGGTTCTTATAGGGTTTGATAGACTATGTGCAGTTCGCTTCCCTATGGCAAGAGCCCGTGCGAAACATCACGTCCGAACGGGTATTATCTGCATTTGGACTCTTAGTGCCATCTTCAGTACACCTCAGGTAAGATATTTGAATTTGCTTTACTTTGATACAATGTAGAAACGTGACATGGTTGTATTGAAAAGTATTAGTAACTTAACTAATAAGAAATTAATAACTTTAACATAAGTATTTAAGCTGATGTTAGAAACTTTTCCTTCCGCCTTGCTCTAGGATAAATTTATTTCAGCAAAATTTATTATTTTTTATGGAAGAAGATAGAAAGATAAAGAAGAACTGAGTTAAATTGTAATATTTATTTTAATTAATATGCTCTTTTTTATGTTAAAGCTTTCCTACACTTCCATATTTTAGTCAGCTGTACCAGAAATACAATTCAAGTGAGTTTAAATAACGAACGAGAATTAAGTGTTAGGATGTTGGCAACTTCAATGCTGTAACTCTTAGATTCTACGTTTTTCTCCATAGTGCTCTGCTTGTTGTTGCGAAGTTACGACTTTTGATTTTGCTTGTACCTACGATAGAAGATAGGATACGTTGCTAGTAAAGAAATCGGGCTTATAACTTTTAATTTGGTATTTGCTTTGTAAATACTCAAAATATGATTGAATGATCTAACCAAAAAAAAAAAAAAAAAAAAAAAAAAAAAGAATATTAAGATTTCGTTTCCTATTAAGAAAGTTTCAGATATAAGAAAAGATCAGATATATTAAGAAAGTTCCTATTAAGAAACTTTCAGCCGAAGTACAAATAAATATTTTAGTTGATTTTCTGATTGTTGTGATCACTTCATGTTGCTGTATTCTAAGTTAAAGAGTCAATAAGAATTTCTTCGGCAATTTAGAAAAATTAATCCGGTCTTTAGAGTAAATATAACTAAAATTTAGCTTTATAAAATGACTGGAAATTTTTTTCCCAAAAAGATACTAATTGTTGTCTCAAAATTCTGTATGAAATTATTATGCGTCTTAAAAAATATAAAGTAGAGCACAACCCTAAGAAACTGTTCTTTCACTTAAGAAAAGGTATTTCAAGGCTATTTCTTGATCCTTCTCCAAAACATGCTTCATAACCATGGTAACGATTGCCTCAGGAAAAAAAGCTTATCCATTGTTGGCGGTAAATCGTACTGTTCGAAGACAGTTTTATTAGTCGAATATGGTCGACAGGAAAATACGAAAGTACTAGGAAATCTTATTTGTATTTTCTTCGCTTTTGGTACATTAGTAAGCGCAAAGGTTCTTTCTTTGTAAGACTGGAATTTGATCTGCCTAACCAACTGGTATATGCAGGGTTTATTGGAACTAATTATTACTCTTAAATTAACCTTTAAACCACCATACTAAAATTCACATGGACTGTCTGGAAAACCCTTGAGGCCACCAATAAACATCTTTATTTAAACAGAAATATGTGTATCTTTGTATCATACAAACAAGCATAAAATACAATAAATCAATACATTTAATACAACTTGTACACTGCGCAAAAAAAATGGGGGTGGCAGTTCTATATCTCCTGCTCTACTAGGCCGATTGACTAAATTCAACTTATGCTTTCATGTTTCGAAAGCGCGACTTAGGATGTGTATTAGATTTATATATAGCAGGGTTGGCCAAATTTCATGTCAGTGAGAGCCGCACGTTTGAATTCAGGAATGTTCAAGAGACGCATCTAGATTTTCTAAAAGCCTCAAGGTCATATTTACATCGTTATAGAAGTAGTGGAGGAGGTTTTAAACAAAAAGATATCCCTGATAACTTTGTAAAAAGAGTCTAAACTAATTAATTACTTCTTTTTGGACACTGAATAGTTTTAGTTTACTATATTTCATACATATATTGTATATACACGAGCCGCACAAATTGCCTGCGAGAGCCATATCAGACTCGCGAGCCGCACTTTGGCCACCCCTGATATATAGCATTGTTCTAATATAGGTATTTTGACATAAAAGCGGACTTTTTCTGAAATGACCTGCCTATTTTTTTCCATATTTTGATTCGACGACTCAAATTATGCCTAAATATTAAATTTTGTAAAATTTGGTGCGAAATTTATGGAGAAATTTTAAAATTTATATTGCCAGATTTTTTTCAGTTTGCGCCAAAAATAATTCACTTGGTGAACTTCTTAATTTATAGCAACCTATTTTCCTTTCTTTTTTTTTTTTTTTTTTCATTGTAAAGCAGTGGAAAAAAGGCATCGTCCATTATTTCAAATATATGCTTTTTTCAATAAATGTGTATTAGGTTGAACGTCAAGAAGAACAAAAAAATAGGCCGTATGGCGTAGGAGAAAAACCCAAAGTATAATTAAGAGACTAGTACATGGTTATGGTAATACATGCAGGTTATTTATACTTTAGAAAATTTCCTAACGTAAGAGAAGAAAGATTATTATTTACTAGATATACTTATTTTGTCATTATTTGCAAGTAAATACATACATTAAAATATAAGTGGAGGATGATATGTACTTTTCAAATAAACTGCAGCATTTTTGTTTTAAATTCTCTCCATTAAAGTAGGAGTGGTAATAAAATTTAAAAATGAAAATATTTTCTTTAACGTATTATTTTAAGAGGTAATTACTTTGAAATTTAATTTCGAGCTTGCACGTTTTCAAGCTAAGACTGGAATATTTAATCGTGGTACTTAAACTAAATACATTACACTACGCATAAATCGCTGTTTTTTATTTACTAGATTTACTGTTAATTTATGGAATACGCCCACGCAAATACGGCTACAGCTTTAAAAAACAAAGTGTTACCCTTTTTCTACTTTTTTACCGACTTCTGTCCGGTCAGTGAAAAATGTTTTTCTCTCCTCGAGTGAAAGTTAAGGCAACATGACTCACAAAACCTTATTAAGGAAACAAATTTTTGAATTGTGCTTTGTAAAGGGTACAGAACTTCAAGGGTCATGCTTTCGTACCTAAAACATGACAATAACACTTGGAATACTTGCCTTTGGAAGGAGAGCTTCATAGATGATCTTTTTTTGGTATACTGCTTCTCATGTATAAAATACACGAACATGTTATGAATAATAGCAATGCTTCTTATAGGTAGGATTGTTGGAAAAGATTAAAAAAAAATGAAACAAAACAAAACGAAAAATTACTTTATAGTAATTAAGGCCACATTTATAAGAGTCTACATGCATTTAAGTTTCTGTCTGGATGCAGTTCGAGCTTACACTTTAATATTGATTTCCAAAGGTATTTATGGTTTATATTTTCTAGATACAAATCAAGTTTTCGGTACGGAAAACATAAAATAATAATCTTTGTTCACGCTAAGATTTGAATCACAGCTCACCCACTTGCCAGCTGAACATGTTAACCACTTACATTACAAAAACCACGCACAAAGGAGGGCAATAATTTCTTACATTTCTCACTATTTAAGGGGGGATTGAGAAAAGGTACCAGATCTGGTCTACCAAATGCAGGAGGTGACCAGTTATTGTCCACCTCATTTTCATACGGGCGCCACTAATAGCCATTGCCACACTTACCGGTACAATGATTAGAAATAACTGCTGCCATATCATTGTGTTGGAGTACGAATCTCAAAGAAGGCTCGGATGTGTGTTAGTGTATAGTATATATGCGGTATGGGAGAACTTAAAATACTCAGGAGACGAAAGTCCTGTCGAGTGGTTTTGCGGCAGGAGAAGAGGGGTAGAAAGCCCTGGGGTCTGACCCACGGTGTGCTCTCCATCAAAATAGGGTGGAGCTGCGCAGTTAGGGCTGCGGAACTATATTTGTACGGCCAACGTTGGAATTCTGGTGATTATTCACCAGTTTCTGCCTGTAACTGTACCTGTACCTGCAGAGATCATTAGATTTTTCAGATCTGGGAAAAGTAAAAAGTCAACTTGACCTCGCCAAGAATCGAAACAAGATCTTCTAACCGTCAATCTGATTGTTACACAAAATTTAAGAGATGTAACAGAACATAAAATTCTCAGACTAGGGAAATAAAAAAAAAACTAATAGTGAAGTCAAATAAAAATATTAAATGTAAAGTAACACTCCCGCCTAGTATCAGGCCTCAATATTTTCAGGAAGTAATTACGGCTAGCGAAGTTAAAGCCGCTTAAGCAATTCAGTAGCAAGGATATCGAACAGAGTGGCTGATCAGCGACAGCTGCTAAAGGCTGTTTCCCATTCTAAAGAATGCAGTGCTGAACTACATTAACTAAACTGCATTTGAGTTTAATAAAAAATAAAGTCAATGTCAAGGCAAAATAATAATAGAACAGGATTAACTAATATAAAACTCTCCAATCTGACTTGTTAATCACTTACGCCACATCATGCGCCGGGAAATACGACAGTTTGTTGCAGCTTTCATTGGTCTTTTCATATTCCCGCCTGCAAATTGAACTGACATTTTTACCAGTGTTTTTAGCTATGCATATGTGTATGCGATCTGAAACATTATAAGTTATAGAAATTACTTTAGCATCATTGTCGACATGTGTAAAATAATTTGTTAGGTTTTGTAATAAGCTATTTCCTTAAATTTTTCTGCTCTGCATCACATCTTCTTAGCAATATGTACTTTTATTTTGCCACAGAAAGAAAAATCCCACATCTATAGACAATACATTCATCTTCTCAGTAATGCATATACTTTTAAAATACTTGTCATTGAATTTAAATGTGAAAGACATTGAATTTAAACTTGAATGAAATTTGGAATTCATTAAATTTATACTTTCACTTTACGTTTTGGCAGTGCGGTATTTTATTTTGAAATAAAAGTGAAACCTAATTCTTAACAAAATACATAGGGCTCTTGGGTGAACGAGAAAATGTTTCTATTGTTAATAATATATGAGAAAATGTTTCTATTGTTAATAATATCTATAATTTCTTTAGCTCTCGTATGAAACGGTATGCATTTCTTTAATCTACCCGCCATTAATACTACTTAAAGAATAATTTAAAAATTCTAATACCGGTAATTAATTAAGTACATAAGTAATTTGTGAAAATGAATAAACATTTTATAAACATGATGATAATGAATTTACAGAAACGAT